TGCGAATGTGCAGTGTCTGTTGAGACGGCTGTGGGAAGGTGGACATTGGGCTACTTTGCTGAGGGACGGTAGACTCTGGGCATGTGGCTGGGGCAGTATACCACTGGATGTCCTCACATAACCCCACCACTGATCAACAGTGTAACAGTAGCACAAACAAGCACAACACCAGGCGCTGCACACTGGAACCAGGATGAGAAGCCCTCTCTCCTGCAGTGTCTCTTGATTGCCCTCTACTGGCGAAGCTTAACATTGTGCTCACTGTGAAAGAAAATACGCTGGGTGAATTTGAAGCTGAGCGGCGACTAGCACAGGATTTGACTGCTTAAAACCCTGAGCCGTTCACCTGTGTCTGGCTTATAATTGAGAAAGAAAAAAGCGGACTCTGATGTCTAGGAACTGATCTGGCTGTCATAGAGTAGTGTCACTGTTACTACACACTGATCTGATGTTCACAACTAAGCCATGTTGTTCTCTCATAGGACATAACATCACAAGAACATCAAGCAAAATCACTGTGCAACCCACAAAATTCCAAACCTCCTCTTCTCTCATGAAATTAGTAACTGCTACTTCTAACCAATTACAGCTTTATTCCCGCTGTAGTCTACCCTCCCTATAAATCAGATTTACTGAGATATACTCAGTCGTAGAATTGCCCTGATTTCTGACAGCTCCCAATCCAAAGCAAGTCTCCATTTCCTTAGACTTCCCAAAATTATCCATCCAAAGCCCAAATCCTGTAATAGTTTCTTTCTTCACTAAAACGTGTTACAGTTCCCCACGATGTGCTCTCTCCCTCTCTGCAATGAGTAATATACCCAACTTGTTAACTACAGGTGTGCTACTAGGGTTTTTTTGACTGAAGGGGATTGACAGAATAAATGATTAATAAATATTTGTTAACCAAGTGAATCCTCTCCTTTTTCTTAAAAAAAATTATTCCTAAGTGAGGCATTTCAAAATTGAAGGTGGGCAAGGGATTGGTGAAAGAATATACCCCTACATTAAATTATTTAAGGGCTATTAAGTAGTTATTGTTTTCCCATTTAATGATGTAAAAAAGGTAATTCTATTTAAAAACCTAGATTTTAATTTTAGGGTTTTTTTTTTTTTTTAAGAAGCTAGCTGAGTTAGAAACATTTACTTCTTTTTAGGAAGTGATTGTCTTAGAAAACTAAATCTTTAATTAGCAGTAACCTCCCCCAAAAAAACCCTGATAGTAGTTTATAGAACTATTTTTGTGACAATAAAACTCCATAAAAACCCATAGTAAAACTAATAACAATTTTTAAAAGTTAGCAAATATAGACAGGAGCGGTCAAGTTATCTTTGTGATAGCTCACCTACAGAGGACATACTGTATATTTTTAATATGATCAAATCATAAAATATTTAAATGAAGTGAATATGAAGTTATATCTTTTCCTCTCAGTTTTCAATAGACTCTATTCTCAAACTTCAGGAATGACGTGTGGAATACACCTTCCTGGTGGAACAACACTGAGTTTTTTAATTCTTTGGTCACTTCCAGAAAGCTGTGGAAGCTTCTTGAGCATCCTTTCCTACTCTGCAGGGCCTTGGGACATCTGTAATATATTTTATTGTTAAGATCATTACTTTTTTAGTTGAGTGCACCTGTCGTCCCAGCGACTCAGGAGGCTGAGGCAGGAGGAACACTTGAGCCCAGGAATTCCAGGCTGTAGCGCACTATGATTGCACCTGTGAATGGGCACTGCACTCTAGCCTGGGCGATATACCGTAGACCCTGTTTCTTAAAAACAAAACAAAACAAAAAAAAAAACTTTTACATTTTAATATGGAAGGGCTAAATGTTAAAATGTGATTTTTATTTCTAAGAGTTCTGATCCTTATAAGGTCTACTAATGCATAGTTAGAATGAGTCACTTGGTAACAATTCTCTACAGGATGAATAATAACCATGGCTTAGTAAACAGATATTTGGATTTTTCTTATAATATGCCTGGGCATGCACATAATTAACTGAATATATTCATATAGGGACTTATGTAGAATCTCCCAAGAAATGTAATTTTTCAGTGAACAGTTTCTTGTTTGAGTAGTTACCATTTTCTTCTACTGAAAAATGAGTGGTTCTTTAATCTCATGTGGATAAAATCTAAGCATATCTATTTAAGTTATGGATATTCAGCAAAATTATATATTCTTATCCTACTAATTCATCTATTTATTCAAAAATATTATTTGAGCCTCTATTATATGCCAGATACTGTGCCAAATACTGAAATTCCAAAAATAAAAAAGACCCCAATCCTTGGTTGAAATGAAGGCCACAGAGTAGAATCTAATGATACTTCTTTTGGATTTGGTCTTTTTATAATTAGTTATCAATCTGTCTTCCTACTCTTGATTTTTTTTTTTTTTTTATTTTGTTAGGATTCTGTTCAACATTAGAGGAGAACAATTAACACTTAGTAACATCAGTAAATTTGGTCAGTAAATTTTAGTCAGCACTGGCTATGAACCCCCCTGTGCTTTATGGGCAAAATCAGAGAAAATGGATACCACTCTGCCCTTAGGGAACGCACAGTGGAGAAGAGAGTACCATGGGGCAAGTGCCATAATGGAATCCTGTGACAGTGCAGAACTGCAATTAGTTCTGACAAGGGCACAGTTTCTAGGAGCCATCCAATAGACTCCCGAGGTTTCAGTCAGGTTCCTATGCCCACCCCAACCCCTGTGATAAAAGACCCTCATCTCCTACAGTTCATACATCTCTGCCTGATACTAGGAGAATTGTAGGTAACTGATTATCTGATCTCCTTTGACCACTACCCCCCTCTCCTCCACAGAGAGTACCAGTTGTCTCAGCCCAGCTGCTTCTGTGGGTCTCAGCTGCAGCCCTGTGTGTGTGTGTTCCCACCCCAGGGGACTGGGTCAGCTCTTTGTGCTCATATCACTGACCCCCTACCCTTCAGGCCACCTGGTGTTTGTTTTAGAAGTTCCCTGTAAACAAATTTTCAACTAAAATTTGAGCCTTAATAGTGAAATAAGGAAAATTTTAAGTACACTTGGGCTGTGGATAGCTTGTGATTCATTACCAAAATCCCATTGTAAACTATTAGAGGCATTTAAAAATTATAAAATGAGCCGGGCGCGGTAGCTCATGCCTGTAATCCTAGCACTCTGGGAGGCCGAGGCGGTTGGATTGCTCAAGGTCAGGAGTTCAGACCAACCTGAGCAAGAGTGAGACCCCGTCTCTACTAAAAATAGAAAGAAATTATCTGGACAACTAAAAATATATAAGAGAAAAAATTAGCCAGGCATGGTAGCATATGCCTGTAGTCCCAGCTACTCGAGAGGCTGAGGCAGGAGGATCGCTTGAGCCCAGGAGTTTGAGGTTGCTGTGAGCTAGGCTGAAGCCATGGCACTCTAACCCAGGCAACAGAGTGAGACTTTGTCTCAAAACAAACAAACAAACAAAAATTATAAAATGAGGCTGGGTGTGATGGCTCATGCCTGTAATCTCAGCACTTTGGGAGGCCGAGGTGGGAGGACCTTGAGGCCAGGAGTTCAAGACCAGCCTGGGCAACATAGTGAGATCCCATCTCTACAAAAAAATAATAGAAAAATTAGCTGGGCGTGATGGCCTGCACCTATAGTCCCAGCTACTTGGAAGGCTGAGGCAGGAGGATCATTTGAGCCCAGGAATTTGAGGTTACAGTGAGCTATGACTGGACCACTGTACACCAGCCTAGGTGACAGAGTGAGACCCTGTCTCAAAAAATAAATAAATAAGTAAGTAATAAAATGACACAAAAAATTTTAAATGGAAAACATTCTTTTTGTACTTGGTCAAGTGTTCTTTGAGTTGATGGGAACCAAGTAACATCTGATCATTTTCCTTAAACTTTTAAAAAATATTTCCCCAAAGTCCTCCTCAGATTTTACTATATTTGTGTACAATGAATTCTGTGAACAGATTATTACATGCCTATAATCCCTATCTTCAATTCTCAAATCCAAAAAATACTGAAAATGAAACCTGTTTTTGTAATTCATTTGTCAGTGAAACCAGACCTGAACCAAAATGACCCGATTCATATTCTTTGATTATCTGTCCTACAGAGACACTCAAATGGTTTGGTACAGAAATGTGAATGTATTTGATTATAGGGTACTGCCATAGATAGTTCATATATGTGGTATATGTACCATATTTTCTAAATTAAAAAAATCTGAATTCTAAAGCATGGCTGCCTCCAAAGGTTTAAGGATTGTAAAAAAAAAAAAAAAAGGATTGTAGACATATGTAAGTATTAATATAAAGCATCCATGGCAGAATGATTTAAAAGACCACTTTAATATTGTAGACAGTTTTTAGTTTTGATAAATTAGTTTATGTAAACAAAACACAACAAAAAAACCAATCTTTAATTTTATGGTAACTCACTTTATCCCTAGATAGGATAGTTCTGCAGTTAGGGATTACATATAGGAAGCGCGACTGTGAATGCATATATATTTGATTTCTTGTACCCACAAAATGAGCGCTAAAATAATCAGCTAACCAAAGGCTATAGCCATGATCATATATACCATACAAGAAAAAAAGAGCCTCTGAATTGGAGATTGTATAAGTGTACATGTATATAAAACTGATCAATAGCAATATGCTGTATCTTGCACATTTTCAATGGGATAAGTGCCAAGAGCAACTTTATTAGCTCTTGATTCTTTCACACTTTAAGGGAATGTAAATTCAAATACCAGTGATTTTAAGAAGTAAAGAGTGTGATAATGTTTCCCACCTACCCACAGCCCCTTAAAACCATTCAAATGAAACTATTTAATTCTTTAATTATGGTGGAATAGAACTGTCCTATTTTCTGCGTGATCATAAAGAAACATTTATTTTTAACGCGGAACTTTTTTTCTTGAAATTGATATTTTCAGGCTTATTGCGGTTATTGTTTTTACTTGGACTCTTCCCCTCCATTTTTCCTTGTTCTGTGCAGATTATCAACGCCTGATGACTGTGGCAGAAGGCATCACCACACTTTTGTTCCCATTTCAATGGCAGCATGTTTATGTACCCATCCTCCCTGCTTCTCTGCTACATTTTCTTGATGCTCCTGTCCCTTATCTGATGGGCCTTCAGTCAAAAGAAGGAACCGACCGTTCTAAACTAGAACTTCCACAAGAGGTAAAACTTAAAATGAATGATGAAGCATTTGCTGTTTGTTGATTTAGATCAAGGGTACTTTTGTTAGATAGCATTGTCTTTGTCCAGCTTGTGTCTCTGACTCTCCTCACTCTCCAAGTAGAGAGCCTGGGCCAAAGAATGCAGAGGGTGACTCCTAATGGTTACTACCACATAGTCATTAATTAAACATTGTTCAAAACAGGACAATGGCAGATTTTCACAACTATACGTTTATGAAGATGGAATAATAGCATGATCTTTGCTTTATTGTTACAATAACATTTCATTTCTTTTCCTCATGTTATAAATTTTGTTTTTAAGCAGTACAGCTCATTTTTTAACATCCTTTAAAATCATTATATTAATTGAGGTGAATTTGATTTTTGACTTCTATCAAATGAGAAGTAACATCTTTCAACAAACTAGTAATAATGGAAAATATCAAATACTTTCGTATTCTGTGTTTTCAGACATAAGGCTAGTTACCAACAGTATAACACTTCACTCGGGTATCATTTTACAATGAGATGAAATAATCGGCTTCACATAATTTTTGGGAGGAAGTGGATATAAAAAAAGTCATTTAAAAAAATAACTTAAATGCACTCACTAGTAATAATTCCCTCTCTCTTTCCCTGAAAACTCTAAAATAAAATAATGGCTAAAAATAGTGACAAGTCTTCTAAAAATAATTATAAAAATGACAAGTTTATGAAATGATTATTTTAAGAAAGTACAATTTTGGTTGTTACGGATAGCTAATGTAACTACACCACCCACTCACTATCCCCATGATTCCAAAATGATAAAGCCACAAGTAGCCATTTGCAATACTGTTTTTTAGGGAGTGGATTAGTAAGAATGAGAGTGGAAGGACATGGCACTGAAGAATAATTGCATAGAGTGGTGCCTCACTTTCCACCATTCTCACTCATCTTTACAGTGAGGAGTGGACAAAAAAGAGAAAAACAGAAACAGAACTGCTTTTGCCACTTTTTGTCATATCTTGCCCTGAGATTCTGAGGGAATATTTTAAATGTTCTCCTCTGGCTTACCCTCACACTGGCATAACTTAAGACACTGAGAAGCTAGATCCCTCACTGAACATGAAGAGAGTTGCCTTAGACTCATGTTCCTGGATACTTGCTGCTCCTGCCTCCAGTTTTGGGATTTCCCCGAAATGACTATCTCCTCAGAGCCTATTCTTTCATTTACCAATTGTCGCCATTTGTGTAGTGTACAATGGGACATATCAAGGTATAAATAAGAGGTGATTTCTGCTTTCCAAAAAAGTCATTTACAAATATCAATAACACAGGTCTAAAAAAATAAAAGGAGTGAATGAACAGAGAATATACAGGGGCTATACAGAGGAGATCAGAATGCCTTTTAGGGTAGGGATAAAGGAAGGCTTCATGACGGAGATAATTAAGCCTTTGTTCTCTTGTTTTGATAGAACTTTTGTTGTTTTTAATTGGAAGTAATTACATATTGTGAAGGCTATGGGCAGTGTTGAATGGTAGAAATACTTAGTCCTAAAACAATGTCAGATTGAGGTGTTGAGTAAATTTGTTACCATGTATGTAATACTTGAGCTCTTCTGATACAATTTTTAAAATTCATTGGTGTTAGGCCAGGCATGGTGGCTCATGCCTGTAATCCTAGCACTCTGGGAGGCCGAGACAGGAGGATCGCTTGAGGGTCAGGAGTTTAACACCAGCCTAAGCAAGAGCGAGACCCCATCTCTACAAAAAATAGACAACTTAGTGGGGTATGGTGGTACACACCTGTAGTCCCAGCTACCCTGGAGGCTGAGGCAGGAGGATCCCTTGAGCCTAAGAGTTGGAGGTTGCAATGAGCTAAGATGATACCACTGCACTCTAGCCCAGTGACAGAGAGACTCTATCTCACAAAAAAAGGAAAAAAAAAATTCGATGGAGTTAAAAGTGAGGAAGCAACTTATCAGAACGCCCTATTGTACAGAGTTCTTGTTTGTTTTAGAGAAGGGACTTTTTGGTTTTCTTTAGTAAATTTGCATAATACAAGTTTGTATATCCTGTTTCTGTTTTGTG